TACAACTTAAACTGGAAATAAGATTTGTCGAACTCCAGTTATTTTTTTTTAAGAAGTTAAGTTTTTTTTTTTTTTTTACGACGCAGAATTTCGCCCGAAGTTAAAAAAAAACCTAAAAATAAAATTATTTGGGGAAAAAAAATATTAAGAAGTAAACATATTTGATGTTGATTTAGAAATAGATTTTCACAAGAGCGGAAACATTTTTTTTCCTTCCAAATATATATATTAGAAGGTAATTTTTTTGTGAAATCGTCCGCCACTCGTTTTCTAAATCACAAGTTTTGCTTTCCTTAGAAGTTTTGTGATACTGGAAAAATAAAATCCGTTACCTAACTTTATAAATCCATCTCCTTACACAACTACAATAACAGCTGTTGAAAATGTAAGTAATGCATTTTAATAGCTGCAATATTAGTAATAATTTTAATAGAATAAGAAATAAAAATTTGCACATATGTTTAATACAATTTTAATTTTATGTATGTTAGCAGTAATGAGATATCGGTATTGTATACATTGTCAAGGATATTTAAACAATATCCAAGGTATTTATTTATACATGGTAGTTAGTCAAAAAAATCCCGGGTCAAATTAAGGTAAAAAGTAGCGGAACTCTGGTTGCCAGTGTGGTTACAGTAAAATCCATTTTTACCGGAATATCTTACGGAATAAAAAATCTGTTAAATCCTAATTCTCAGAGTAATAATAACCGTTAAACCATTGAATCACTCTAATTAACAAATATTATTGTAAATGTCACTGTATAATATTTAACGGTGATAATGTATTTTACGGATGATGCATCCTAAGTACCGGTATTTACTTAGGCGCCGGTATTTCTTACTGTAAAATTAATTTTAACGTGACATTTACATTTTAACGAAAAATTCATATAACATTGCGTCTCTGTACGCAATGCCAAATGGTAAAAAATGGTAATTAGAAAAAATAGTTATTCCATAATTTATTAGTGCAATTATGGTAAGTTTTAATTAGTTTTTTTTTTTTCAAAATATTGGTTAACACATTAAGGTTCACATTTTATTTTGTTTTCTTTAATAAGAAAAAACATGCATTTTCAGTAATCGCTATGCATCAATAATAATAATAAACCTTTAAAACGCAATACTAATCAATGGACAATGGGATGGCTCAGTGAAATAAATTAGCTCAATTTTTATTTAACTGATGTGCTTTTTCTTTCTCTTTTTACGGTAACGAAAAACTGGCCAGTATTTTTTTGACCGTTATGTCTTACTCAAATGTTTTTTTCTTTTTTTAATCTAACAAACATTTCCCAGTAATCCATAAGCTAATGTTTTCGTCCTAATCCAATAATTTTAACAGTAACCAAAGAAAGTTAAAAAAAAAATTTCGTTTCTTGAATTAATAAATGTATTGTGAAAATATTTTTAATGTATTTTCTATTTATTGTTGTTATTGTAACATTCCCCTTTCCTATATCAGCAAGCCTGCTTTTGAATAAGGCGAATTTTTAAGGCAGAGGGTCTGTTTTTCTGTGGCGCCATCTACAGCCAAGAATACGACTTAGTCCACACACACACGTCATAGCCTATTTTATAAGTAAGACCCAATTATACTCCATTCATTCATCCACTGATCGTAATTTTGAACTTAACCATCGAACGATCAATTTCCAATTCAATACCCCTAGAGTCATCGATTTGTTATGAGAACTTGGAGGACTGTGTGACCCCGACAGATTTAATCTGCGCCAATCATCATTTAATGCACGAGATTTCTTCGACCGGAGGAATTCAAACTCACGTTCTCACGAACACGAGTTCAACTTCCTACCAACCGGGCTACCCCGGCCCTATTTATTGCAAATAATATTAATTATATCCAGAAAATATTACTTTAAATAATATTATAATTACAAAATATTACTCTTTAATTTTTTTTAAAGAAAGTGGCGAAAAAATAATGCGCCGTTTCTTTCACCGTGTGTTCATAACTTGCATAAAAGACATTCAATAATACAATGCCAAAATCGACATAAAATTAATTCTAGCACTTCATTCCTCGATTAAAAACACCAGGCATTTTATACAATATCTAGATAGTGTAGGCGTTATGGCCATTTTTTACATCGCCTATAGCATAAACACAATGATTTAAAAAAATACAGACAAAATTGCCAGAATATGGTAAAATTTAACATGTTTCTGGCTCTATGGAAATAGCAAAAAATTCGGGATTTTTTTACAGCAGAATTTTGATATTGATTTTGGTAAAATTAGCAATATATATGGTTCTATATAGGTAATAAAGTTTGGCAAATGTTGTAAAATTCGGTAATTTTACATGATACGTTTTAACATGGGATATTAACCTTTCATTTATTTAAATTTACTTTTCAGTTTTATATTTTTTACTAAATATGAGCTAATAGGAAATATAATTTTAAAAACTAGAATTTCCGGTAAACCCTTACCATATGAACGGATAAATTACTAAATGAATGGCTTGAATACCGTATATTTTGGTTTTAGTAACCAGAATTAAGTTTTTTCCCCAAAGATAGCATTATCATGTACGACAATATTTACCGGAATTTTTATCATTTTTTTTACGCTCGGCAAATATTTTTATAACTTCGAGTAAGTTAAAATCATACTATTATTTCTACACTTTTCCTAGAATTTTTAATTTTGAACTGTTAAAAAACCAACATTTTTTTTTAAAAAATGTGAATCTTTTTTTACATTTTAAGTAAAAAAGCAGTATTTTTAAATCTGCAAAGAATTACGAATATGATTTTAACAAGTAATCATAAAATTATTGGAAAGCTTTTAAAGGAAAAGTTTTATTATAAAGGAAAAGTTATAATTTAAGAAAAGATTTTTTTGGTTTGATTAGAAAAATTTTTGTAAAATTATTCTAAAAAGGACAACATAATTAAAAATGTTGCTCTTTTTTGCAAGCTATCAAACTAAAACGAAACTTGTTTACTAAAATATTTCATTCCAAATGTTAGCCTTCTGTCTTTTAATTGTTCGAAAACGTTAAATCAAATCGACTTATGTCATTTAATGTTTCAATCAATTTGGAGCGATATTATTTAATGTTTTTTGCTTGATAATTTTGCATAAAATTTGAGTTTATTAACAAAAGAAACGTGGTTTGCTCAAATTTTAATTTGTCTTTTGCATTTCAATTTCGACTTATTTTCCTTACTTTTTCAAATACTTTAAAATGGTTATGAAATATTAAAAGAAATTCCTTCATTAAAATGGTAATTACGTAACTTTCATCAAAAATTTTATAATTACTGGATAGAAACACACTGTTAGAAGTGTGCTGGATTAAATTGGTTAAATATTAAATTATTTAAGTTTATTTTACCATTTTCCAAAAAAATAATAAAATAACCCTAAATAAGCTGGTATTCTAATTGTCAACTGATAGATAAAACGTTTATTAACTACTTTCAACTAATACGACTAAACAGTCCAAATTTTATCGCACCAACTACGTACTTCTAATTAACTCACTTAGATCCTTGCAGCTAAGTACATATTATAGCTGAGAGTTCAATCTCATGACTAACGGAGAGGGGGTTTGCCTCCAACACTCGTTTCTAGTGCTCTGCATTCCCCAATTGGTGACTCTGGACTATACGATTCTCTCATTCACGCATAGAAGGCAACCACATAAAACTGCTTAATACAAAAAAATTCTTGTATTTCGCATCTTTTTCAATAGGGGAAACAATTAGATTAACTAATTAAACCATAGTTTCCGGTTCATTTGATAAAACACAACAAAACCACAACGTATGTTCGTCACCTAACTCAAAGCATATTGCTTCAATTAAATTTCTTTTAACGGCTTGGAAACCAAGCTAGTTAAACCGTATAGCTTTGTATTCATGCTTTTACAACTATGCTAGTAACATAATGCCAAAAAGTTAATAATTATTTTCATTTTATGCATTTTTGCTATTTAGATCAAACAAAATAAGTTTTGCCTCTGGTACGCAATATTATGAATTCTATTTTTTGAAACTAAATACATTACATGCATGCAAGATATTAAAACCTGATACAATATGCTAAACTGAAAAAAATTTTATGCATAATTTATCCTTCGAAAAGAATTATTTATGTCTAATAGGGAACATATTTTGTTTTAATATAAACAATTTTTTACTAGCAAAAACTTTAAGTTTTGAGCTACAATAAAATTTGATTATTTGCGAAAAACTTTTCTACATTTATGATTAAAACGTGTGACATAATTTAGACCAAATAAAACTACTTTAAATTGGCCTATATATATATATATATATATTATTTGTTAAAGAGTTCTTCATTAAAGTGTAACTTAAGAGTTTTTAATTGCTTCATTTGCAGTAATCTTCATTCATAATAAAAAAAATCACATAGAAGTATTAGAATTCATAATAATAACCCGTGAATTACTTGTAAAATAATATGTTTGTTAATAAAACGAGAATGTTTTTATAAATATTGAAATTATAAATATTTCTATAAATAAATTAAACTTGTTTTTAATTATCTTGAATACTGTTTATTCCATTAACTATTTTTTAATTGTTTTCCCTCTGCTTCTACATACAAACTCTTTACTATTCTGAAACTGGAATAGAAGCACAAACAATTCAGAATTAAACATTTTTATTTTAATGCAACAAAAATTTTGATCTATTTTAGTTCTCTCAATTTCTTTTTTACCTGTGATGAAGATAACAATAAATAACAAAAGATTTTAAACAATAAATAAGATAGGTTATAAAACCATACTTTTTTTTACAGATTTTATTTTATTTTTTCAGCATTTTATTTTTTTAAAGACATTTTATAGCGTACATTTTATTTTTTTAAAGATTTTATTTAATTTTTCAAACGTTATGTGCCGAATTTTTCCAGCTATGAAATTTTTTACAAATTGGCACAAAAACGTTCAAAAAACGTTTCCCAACAAAAAATTTAAAAAAATGTCTAGCTTACCGCTTGTGAAAACTCCAAATAGCATTACGACGCACATATAGGGTAGTCCACAATTTTGATGCCAAATATCAAGAATCATCTTGAACATATATTACTTAATAACGTCCAAACTCAATATTCTTAGTCTTTGTTAACAGAACTGTGCACATATTAACTGCATTAATTATTCGAAAGTCAAATATACTTTCACATCAAAACATGTTTAATCCTTATTCTCTCTTAGGAAAATCAAAACATATTCTTCTCAATTCTAACCCATCACAAATATATCATCAATTAAAATTAAATATAAAATATTTTTATAATAATTTTAAAAAAACACTGTTTAAGAAATGAAATTAAACTATAGAATAAATCAGCAAAAATCTTTGAAGAGTATTTCAGATAACAATATTTAAGATGCGGGTGGGAAAATGTTACAAGTGACGATAATTGTTCGGGATGTTCGAAACTTGATGCTGAAGAGCACGGCCTGGACGTTCGATATCGTCCGATAAGTGAATGAGGATGCTGCAATCGCACGTGCTTATATGTTCCCCGCCAGGAAAAGATGCGTCTGCGCAGTTGAACGAAAACGTTTCTTTGCCTTTCGCGGGGTTTTGTTATGGGACAATTCTTTCATTTTCAAAAGGTATAATTAACTCTTATTTTTTAATATGTATGTAAGGAATAAAGAGATAAAGAAAATTGTGATTTAAAAAGTTCTTAAAACGCATGGGAATAAGGAAAAGAATAAAAAATAAAAAGGATATAAGGAATAAGGAAAAGTTATTGTTTGAAATATTTGTTATTAAATTATAGTTAATAAAATTTTTAAAAAAATCATAATAATTAAAGGCAAATTTAATTTATTTATGCAAATATTTAATAGAATTATTTGTTGTCTATAAAAAATGAGCTCATTATTTTTTTTCCTTTTAGATTATTTTTTTCATTCTGAATGTTTTTCATTCAGATTTTTCAATCAAAAAGATTAAAAAAATTTGAATTTTTAATGGCAAAAAATACATTAAAAAGATGAAAATATAGTTTTATAATCGGATATTTCTTTCATTGCATGAAACACTCAATCTTCTTCGCAATTTCTTCTTACAAAAAGGTTTAATTTTTTAACATGCAACAAATAAAATGTAGAAGTGATAAAAATAGTCTTTATTTGAAATTATTATTGCTAGGATAGCCTGATGGTTGGCATACCGCTGGAGATCAAATCCAACCGGTTTAAGACTCCCCGTGTAATCAATGGTGACTGGTGCACTTTAAATCTGACGAGTCACATAGTCCTCTAGGTTCCCATAACAAATTATACCTTTGAGGGTACTGAATTGGAGATTGGTCTTTCTCTATTTCAGGACAAAATTATGATTTGTGGATGTATGAATGCATCCGCTCTATAAACGGGTGTGACATATGGGTCTGGTAGAGGTCGAATTCTTGGCCATAGATGGCGCCACTGGAAAACAATAACAATCTTACCCTTTGCTTTAATGGCACTACGGCGACAACAATAAATAAACTTTTTAGACTGCCCCCTATATTTTTTAAATTGTTTTACATAGAATAATGCAATGAAATGTAATTAAGTGGAATAAAGAATAACTAAATGTGCCGAAGCTTGTGTCTATAGTACAGAATATATTTTTTCTTTTAGCTAAAGTGTTTCCTAGCTAATATTTTTCAAAATTTAACAATTCAGAAAGAAATTTTCGGTAAAATGGATGAATGATGAAATTCAATGTCTGTTTCCATAAGCGTCGAAAGTTAGCGGTCTTGTTAAAAATAGTAAGAATTCCATTCACAACCTAAAAAAACCAACTTTAAATGAAATAGTTTTGCTGTCAGTCTTATTTTCACTCCAGCCTCAAAAGCGCAGAGGATAACGCTTCTTCGTCATCTTGTATTCAGATCAGGAATGTCCGGGAATCTGTCTAGTACTCTGCTGTCTACCGTAGAGGAAAAGAAAAGGCCAGTACTGGTCCTACTAATTGTTTACCTATTTTCAACGCAATTGCTTATGCAAATCCACTCTCGCCGTACAAGTCATAGCTTACGTATGTGATTGGTTTCGAGCAGCGAGTCCCTTTTCGTTCCGCTATATAAAATACTTAGCAGTTCTGTACAGGGACCACGGTATTTTCCGGGCTCCCTAACAAAATATTTTGAAATCAAATTTCAGAAGAGTAGTCCAACAATAAAAAGAATCTACTGAACTGCATGATTCAAGAGAAGCATTCTAAAAAATTTTGAAAACAGACAATAGAAGATTATTTTTCTAAGATAAAGTTTACGCATCTAAGCATTAAAGCAAAATATAAAATAACAAAACAATGTTAAAATAGAAATAGTTTGGTGACCACAAACAATTAAAATCAGTGATTTTTGCTAAAAGTCACAGATTAGCTGAATTATTTTAAAGATTGTAGCTTTCCATCTGCAGCTTTACATATTTGTTAAGAATAAGCTTTTAGTTCTTGTTGACAATAATCATTCATAAGAGACTTTCTCAGATGTGCATTCTCGTTGCATTTGCTAAAGCCGTTGGAGTAAAAATAGCACTAATTAAGAATTCAGCTGTACTTTCGAATTTGATTAGTGCAATGTTTGCACAAGTTTGGTTTATCACAAAATAAAGAAATTTTGAAATTTATGCCTTTTTTGAGAAAAACTGTTTCTTTCTGTATTTAAAAAGACAATAATGTTGTGGACTTTTTACTAAATTTTGAGGCTCCCCCGGATAGTTTGGACCATAGGCCCATGCCTATTGGGCCTAGGTGATAATCAGACCCTTTTTCTGTACCACTATTCGACCAAATAATATTCTGATTATATTATGTTGAAATTTCAATTTTTGATTGTAAATGATACTTTTTTTATTTATTTTACAAGATGAGTAAGCATGTCATATCCACCGCAATAGAGACTTACTTCAATAGAGATAAAGAAAGACGTCAAACATGCTTAACTGCACGGAGAAAAAAATCTCCAAAAGTCACCGAACTGTACAGTAATGACATTTCAGATAAAGAAAAAAAACATAATTACAGTTCATAAAATCAAAATATGCTTATTTAAATTTATCATTTTGTAATTTTTCCGTTAATATGGTAACGGTTTACCGGAAATTCAAATTTTTCAAAATTGTAGTTCTTTTTATCACACATTTAGTAAAGTATACAAAACTGAAAAGTCAATTTAGCAGAATAAATAGTTTTTATGCCATGCTCTAAAGTATCATGATAAAATTACTAATTTTATCGCACATTATAAAAACATATTTTATTGTTAATTTTACCAAAGCGCAGGGGCGTATTAAGCGCACACTGGGCCCTAGGCCATTCAAATATTTAGGGCCCTTGGATTAAATTTTTTTCTCGTAAATTTTTCATTTATTCAAATATAAAAGTATTTATACATCTTTTCATTTAAGAAAGCATATTTAAAATTAAAATAAATAATATACTGGACCTCTTAAACAGTGTCAATTTCAATGTATAAAATTTCATTGAAAGTGACCAGTTGTATGAGTTTTTTCTGGAGTATATAAAACAACAAACAAACACCTAGCTTTTAGTAAAATATTTTGCACTTATTTATTGATCAAATAGAATTACGGACACTGAATAATTATAAAACACTAAAAAAATTATGAGACACTTCAGTTGAGGCACTAAATAACTTCTTTTTCATTTAAAACGTCTCAATAATGTCAACAACATTTAATTCTTTGCTTCTTGTTTAAACAAGTCTCAGCTCGCTATAGTACTGCTTTCAATTTTTTCACACGCAAATCAAAAGGACAAATTTGAACTTGAAAAACATTGATGAATATTATAATACATAAACTATAATAATACTTATAAATAATAACTAAAATAAGTAATAAATAAATACGTAAGAAATTATGTAATAATTATGTAAAAAAATTATCGTATTTTATTAATATATATTTGAAATTGATTTTTTTAAATCATTGTTTTTCTTAATTTTTTAAAATTTATTTTCAAAAAAATTTTTAAGGGGGCTCTTAATCATTGGAGGCCCCAGGCCATGGCCTAGTCTAGCCCAATGGGCACTGCCAAAGCGCTTCGTTAAAAATAGGTGAGTTTTTTGGTGTTCTCATAGAGCTAGAAAAGGGAAAATTTTAACATATTCTTGTAGTTTGGATAATGCTCTTTTTTCTCAGTGTGGTTAAAGGGCTATAAGGATAAGGATATATCCTCTAATCTACTGAAGTACTAAGTTCTCTCTCACTAAATCTTATATTCTAACAACAAGTTTTATCTCCTACTCATTGTGCTTTTATGACAATTTTACAATGTATCAGTGGCTCAACACTTCAACCACGGATTTACATTTTTGAATTCACTGGGTTGTGTTGAAAGTTGGAACACATCATGTGATTTATACATTTTTAAAATACATAACCGACATTCAATTAATTCCTCATGGACAGTTTTAAGTTACGATATATGACACAAAAATGTACTTTCTATGAGTAAACCTAATTTTATGAAAGATTCAACGATTAAGCAGAAGAGCGTTTAAAAATTTGGACCCCTTAATGTTTGCTTCATTTTTTTTCTTCATCCGAACAAAAACTTCACTTTCGTCTGAAAGAGTCATATTTTTTTAAATTTTAAATTAGTAAGAACTATTTAAAAAACTCTTTTCAAATTTTTCCTTAATTTTTCTTTTCAAATTTTTCCTTATTATTCGCATTTTTTCGAACTTTAGTTAGATAAATAATATAAATAATGTAATGCAAATAATGTGATATAAATATTATAATTTAAATAATATAGCATAAAAATATTATTTAAATAAGATAATTAAATTAACATAAAATAAATAAGTATAAAACATAATTGTTACTTTGAATTATCTATGAATAAGCAATTTTTATAGTTTTATATAATTAATTTTGGCGAAATACGCATAAATTGAAATTAACATTAAGGAATTCAAATTTTTGACCACTTTCCTGACCGAATTGTTTAAACCATATTTTCCAAATTGCTGTTACCAGGCCGGGATAGCCTGTTTGGTAGGGCACTGGTCACATGTCCAAGAGGTCGTGGGTTTGATCCCCGCCTGTAGAAGACTTCCCATGTAGTAACTAATGATTGATGCACGTTAAATCTGTCGTCAAATCTGTCACGAAGTCCTCCATATTTTCATAACAAATCATACCTTTGGGGATATTGATTCAGGAGTTTCCTTGTCTTCCGAATTGGGTTCAAAATTTCAAGGCTACAGAGTTGATCATTAATAATCGTAAACCCAAAATTGGGTTGGCTGTTCAACGACGGATATAAAATGGAATAAAATTGCGGTTACCCTACCACCTATTTTGGGAGTCAAGAATCCATATCTATCGGTAAATAAGTATGTTAATTCAGAGAAAGTACATTTTTGCTTCTGGTTTCACAACTTAAAACATTTTCTGCATTAAATACTTTATTATATTTAAGGTTTGGCTTTCGAACCATT